CAACTTTTGAAACTTAATCACTGTAATTTTACAAGCTCATCTCAAAAAAAGCCTAGATGCTCTTCAAGGAGTGCTCATACAAATATCTCAAAAGTCTTGACATGTGTGCTAATCAACCATAAATATCAACAATCAGAAAAAGTTAAGATGGGAGTATTATGTAGGATGCCAAGAAAACAAAAATTCAGATCAACAAAACTAAAAACCAACAACCAGCTGTCCCATACTTGTACTAACATTTGAATGAAAGGAGACACTCCAATGAACTCCTGATTAAATTATTTTTGGAACTGATAAGCAACCTAAATCATATTAGGTTACACTGGGATTGTACTTTTTCTTACCACAAACTTAGATCCTTCTCCAATGTGGATAATGGGCAGACTACTGAGAATGTAAAATCTAAGTATCACTTTTGTAATATCATAAAGCATTTCTTTTCCTACTTCTCCCATCCCCTCCAACAAACCAGATTTTCAGTAACTTAAACTAGTTGCTGTTAACAACATTCAATTGCTAGCATATAAACAAAGGGACTGAAAAATACAAAGAAAACTAGTTTATTAAAATGAGGCATCCTCCATTGTTTTATGTAATGTACCCTGACTGCTCCTGAGTAAGAAGGGAGCTCGTCCTCCATGAGATAAGGCTATATCCTCACTTGTTGGTGAGACCAAATTCTATCCTTAGAAAATCTCAAACAAAATTACAGCAAAGGTAGTGTTCAAAGTAATTAACTGAAGCATTTCTGAAGGTAGTGTGTGCACATTTCCCACCTCCTTCCCCTCTGGGTGAGCACTAAGTAAAATGCTAATTTATTAAGTAAATTTAATAGTGAGAATAAAATTATAAAGTATAATTATAGATGACCCCAAAAAATATTTATCACTGAGTAACGAAAAATTTTAAATTCAAAGGTTCATTGTACTTAATTTTTTTAATACTTTCAATTAGTTGAATTGTAGAAGAAAAACATGTGAATAATTTTATAAGATGGCTTTCCAATTTGCAATGATAAAGCTCCCAGTATGATAGAGGTTATTTTTCTAAAAGGGGGCTTCTCCTCTTCTTTTTTTAAAAGTAAAGGCAAACATAACTTAAGGGATGGGGAAGAGCATGCAGGCTCTACAGGCAAGGAGTCCACTTCCATGAATCTGTTCTCTGTGAGGTAAGTCAATTCTCTTTTGTAGAGAAACATGCAAAAGGCCAAACAATATTCCGAGCCATACTGCACATGGAAATTTAAAAATATGCAACATTCTGAATGCACCTTTCACCTCTGTACACACAAGTCAATGCAAAATCTGCAAAGAAACAAGCGTCACAGTAATGAAGTTAGGTGCAAGCAATGACAGCTGAACAATGGTGCAGTAGTGCTCACCCAGTTTGTACAGTAATTGGCACGCTACAGTATTCCTACTCGTTTTTTGATTCATTTGCACTTTGTGCTGCCTCTCCCTGGGGATCTAATTCAATCTTTACAGAAACATCTGGCCCCTCCGACCTCATTAATTTCATCTTTTTCTTTGGAGGGTTTTTCAAAGTGCCCAGCCTCTCTTTTACTTTGTACTCCAGTGTACTGTGGGGAATCCCATAAATACTCTGAGCTTTGGAAACACTCATTTTTCCACTCATAACCACTGAGATTGCTTCCTCCAGTATCTCACTGTTGTACTGTCTGTAACGCCCTCTTTTCTTCCGAGGCTGCTTGGAGCCAGGATCTCCTTCTTGATCCGATGTGGGATATGGCTGTCCAGAGGTAGACTGCTCAGCATCTGAGCCCCAAGAATCAGGTCCAGCATCTAACATGCTTTTTCTATTTTGTTTTGGAAGAATAGCCCTTAATTTTTTACTAAGCGCGCTCTCCGTTTGTGAACCCATTACCAAAGAGCTATAGCTGTACTGATCACCAGTGCGAGACTCCCAAGAAAGATCCATTCCTCGAACTTGTGGTATTTTTAAATCTACAGGAGATGAATGGCTCACATCCTTTTTTCCATCTTGTTTTGCTTGAAGTGCCATTTTTGGAAAGGCAGAATTTTCTGCAAGAAAAGGAAGGTCACTGATGTTGCTGAGTGCACCATTTCCCCTGAACTTCATACGGCTGAGGTTGAATTCATAATGTGGCTTTGCCCAAGAGGCTTCCCTGGATAATATTAAGTGCTGTCCATGATTCTGTAATCCAGATGGCCCAAGGCTGGCAGCTGAGGACAATTGGTTTCTGCTCAGTAGTTCTTCACTAATTTGCAGGGATCGAGCCAGTGGAACTTTGAGTGATGTGGAGTGTCCAAAACCTTCCCTGGTTCCATCCTGTAAGCTTCTTGGAGGTACCCCATCACCACTCCGAAGTCCGTCTGGGCGGTACTGGCTGGGTCTCCCAGGTCGCCTAATTGAATGGAAGGAAACTGATGTGAGCAGGACTTGCACAGGTAGGGAGGGATGGGTGAGGGGACCACTCCTTTATTAGAAGGCCTTGCTTGGGTAACATCACTTTGTGTTATTTATTTATTTTTCTCTAAAATTAAAAAAAAAATGGTCTCAGCAGTTAGTTTTAAAACTTGTTCACAAAAAAGAAAAAGAAAAAGAAAAAAAAACAGGAGCATTTTGGGCAAAGAAAAATTAAACCTGTTGGCTGGTCTCTGGTTGGGTTCACAAATTTTCGGAGGAAAAAGTTTCGCGCAACTGTCTGAAAATAGCACCTTAATTATTAATTACAAAGTAATCATCAGTCTCCATAGATCTATACAGAATTGTGTTACCAATGTGACGTTACCACTAAACAAGTACAGTAATAAAAGAGTAAGTCAAATTATATTAATGCAATGTAATCAACATTCATGACAACGAGCTATAAAACTGGACCACTTACACTGCTGGAATTCACTGATAATGCTCACTTATTCCACAAACAAGTATATGTTCACCATAAAAATCAAACAGTTCTAAATAACATTTATTTTACCTGGGAAAAAAATATATCTATGGCATCCAGCCCAAATGAGGAAAAAACATCAAACTGAAAGAAATCAAAAGATCCACAGCGTTGTAACTTACCACACTCCTTCCTTTTAAAACACTATGAATACCATAATTTTCCATTGTGACTTGAGTGACTCAAGGTTAAAAGTAATTACTCTCTATTTTGGCCAAAATTATGCTCCTTAAATTCTACTCAAAGTACTGTTAAAGCTATACAAACAATTTTGTAGCAGTTTTTTTCTAAGAAAAACTTGTCAAAATACTAAATGTTTATTTTGAAATTTTACATGGATAACTTTGAAACAGTGTTTCAAAACTCAACTATTTACACTAAATGAATTCATATAGTTTTCGTTTTCATAATAGAGAAAAGTTATCAATCATAAGACTGGCAACTGGCAAAGTAATGTCCAAGGGGAATAGTATATATATATTAATGCAGCCCCCAAATAGAACTCTGCAGAAATAATGTCAAACCAGCTATATTCTCCAAATTCTACAGGGACTACTGTCATTATTAACACAGTAAGTATAACACCGAACACAACTAAAAGATGGGCACAGTACTGTTGGTATATCTGTCATCCATAAAGCAAAACCAAGTAGAAAACAACGCTTCTCAGTCAGAGGAACAATACACCAACTTCAACCATGTAATACATGGGACTGCTAGCCAAAAGTAAGGTGAATCTTAAGCAAGGGATTCATTTATGCAAACTATACTTGGGTTTCTATGACATGCATCCTTCATTACACAACTCAAGTGTTTCTGATATAGTAGTGGAATCCAGTGACTTGGGACTAGGGGGACTTGTACTTAATATAAACCACAATGAGAAGAAGGGCTAAAAAAAAAAAAAATTAGTAAAGTGTATAAAATGGATTAAATTAATACTATCAGATTGAACAGAAAAAGGGGAGAAAAAAGAAAATGATGAAAGTTTAAGGGAAAATAAAGGGGGCTTTTTAGAAGCCAGCAGGAGTGCTTCAGTCTGAAAATAATTTAAGAGTAAGTTGGAAAAGGTCAATCCATTTAGTGTCCACTTGTTCCTTTAATATCTAAGTAACTTCTCCATTTGATATTCTAATGGTTAAATATTAATTTAAACTTACCACTTGTTTTCATACCTACATAAAAGTTGTTTATTTAGAACAATATTCTAATATATAAATATCTTCTTTAATAGTTGACTTTTCTAAATGGTTAATATATACAAGGAGAATGAAGACAATTCTTAACACTATAAAATTAGGTGGTCAGAGAATTCACTTTAATTTGCTAAGTTATCAAACTGAGCATGTAATTGTGTCCTGGCAGCATAAAATGTCTTGGCAATATCCACAATCAATCTTATGTTAAAAAAAAAACAAAACCATACAACTACATTTTTCTGAACTGCCCAACTTAAAATTGCAGTTCAAAACAACAACCAAAACCAAATCAGAACAAAAATGAACACAAACACAAACCCTACTAAAGATACCAAGTAAAACAATGGAGTTCAAATTTCACTTAACAGTTTCAGTACACATATTACTACTGCTTTTATGTCTAAACTTCAGAATCATTTAGCTTGGGTTTCACACTCCAAAACACTCAACAACAAAAAACTCACAGACATATTCTCACCACATTCATAATTATTTCTTTTTTTTTTTTTTTTGAGACAAGGTCTCACTATGTAGTCCAAGCGGGCCTTGAACTCATTATGTAGCCTAGGCTGGCCTCGAACTCACAGTGAGCCTCCTGCCTCAGATTATACAGGCACGTGCCACCACACTTGGCTCATGATTGCCTAATATTTGTATTAAACTAGCAAAATTGGTCTATTCTAGCCAATTCTAGCTTGCACTGACGTATTTTTAGTTGACTGATGGACTAGAAATTATTTTACAAAAGGGCTGCCTACAAGACTGTTACTCTGAAGAACTAGTGTTTAAAATACACAGGAGAGACTGGCATCAATCTTTGATGAATTATCTGAATAAGACTGTGGAAGGTTACAAATATTTTCCCTTACCCGTTCCCTTGAGTACTCGAGCAGCCTGGAGAATGGCTCAGGGAAGTGCTGCCAGCACATGGACTTCTCTTAGTGGAAAGATCAAGTACACCGTCTGTAGAGACACAAAAAAACCTGATGATATTAAAAACTAGATCAAATGTGAACTGAATATGTTAAAAATGAAAAAGCCATATGCCTACGCAATTAAGTAAATACATTCATCATGTATGAATTATTAAATGAAGTACAATATACAATCAAGGTACTTTTCTTCCTGAAACAATATAAATTTAGCAAAGCATTGTACATTCAGTTTCTCCAAGGATTAAATATTAACAGGGCAAAAGAAAAGATAAGAGATATTATAGAAGATGCTAGGATACAGTGAGCAAAATACCAGAAAAAGCAGTTTATACTGCATGAGATTCTGCTCTAGGATTTATTAGATTTCATTTCTACATTTACCTTGATTTAAATGTATGCGTTTTTAAGGTCCCACAATATCATACAAACTATAATCTAAATTCCTCAAGACTTAAATCCATCAAAAACTCAAAAGTACATAAAGTTGGATGTAGAAAATTTTAAATAAGGCAAAAGTTTTAAAGTATGAGTTTATATGGTTAAATTACATGTACAGTAAACACAATAGTCCGTAAGATGAATAAGTTGTTAATGGTTTATAATTTGTGTACATCGAATTACTCCCTAGAAATAGCCAAAAAAATGTTATGTAGATTTAATCTTTCAAAAAAATTTACAGAGATTTAAAATGCAACTACTGAAATTCATAAAGGCATTTTTTTTAAATTTAAGAAGGTATCAAAATTGATGGGTAATATTAAAGAAAAGAATGAAATAGTCTTGATACAGGTAAGAGCTTGAAAGTGTTAACAGGAGTGACAACAAATCACAAGTTTATGTTATTAATACATAAAATTGGAAAACTTTCTTATCCCTCAAAGGTATTTTTCCCCTTATAAACATATCCAGAAAGAAATTTCATTGTTTGGAGACTTTTTGTAGTGACTGTGGTACTTGGGACTGAACACAGGGCATTGGCCCTGAGTTGTAACCCGAGTCATTTTTTATTTTGATACAGGCTCTCAATATACTAAAGTCCCAGGATGGGCTCAAACTTGCAATCCTCTGCCTCAGCCTCACTGAGCTACATCCCCAGCCCTTTCTTTGAGTTAGCATCTCAATAAGTCAGTAGGCTGCCTAGGCTGGTTTGAATTTGCCATTCTCCCATTTCAGCCTCCTGAAGTGCTAGGATTACAGGCATGTATCACAAGGCCCATTGCTCTGAACAACTTTCTAAAGCTGTCACTGCATCCAAAATTAACAAAGCAAGATACATGAAATGTGTCTGATTTTCAGATGGCCAGTAGAAAGGTCTTGCTGTCCAGTTACATTAATTTATCAATCCAGGAAAGAACCTATTTATTATCTGTCCTTGAGAATTTTGTAATTCCTGACTTCAAACTGTTAGAAAGAAATATGCAAGGAATTTATAAATAAAAAAGTTCACTCTTATATAAAAGCCTTTAGAGTCATTAATACTTGTACAAATAGGATTATAATCTTATACAACCAAGCATTCTACTAGACACCTAGCCCAACAAGATTATCTGAAAAGTAAATGCACTGCTTAAGTTATTTCTAACTGAAAATAGTATTATAGACTTCTAAATCAAAGAGGCATTTTGTCTTATCAAACAGGAAACATTTTAATTCTACTAAGCTAAATCTCCTAAAATTCAAATGTTTTATGCTTCATTTGAAGTCTGTACTCTATAATGCTGTCATTACAGTTCAAATTTTTCTTATTAAGAGAATGCTGTCAACACAACATATTTTCTAAGTGTAATATTGGCTATAGGAAGTTAAGACTAAGTGGAATCACTGTATATCTATTAAAAACACCTTTGTGGTGCCATTTTCCTATTATAAACCTGAAGCTTTTGATGCAGTACTTACTTTTTGATTTTGATTTTGTTTTTTTAAGATAGAGTCTCACTATGTGTTTCAGGCTGGCCTTTAAACCACTAACTAGCTCAGCCTAGACAACAACACAGCAAGATCGTATCTCTTCAAGAGAGAAAAAAGAAAACTAATTAATGTAGCTTTTAATTTATTCCTGAACTCAAACTGACTTACTAAAAACTTGCAGTGATCCACCTGCTTCAGCTTCCGAAGTGCTAGGACTAGAGATGTGTGCCACCATATCTAGCTTGATGCAGTATTTAAAAGCACAGAGGTTTTTAATGAAAACTACCAGTTTGTGGCAAGGAAAACAATCCTCAATAAAACTCTATAAAGACACAACTCTGCAAATATGGTTACCAAAAGTACCAGGATCAACTGGATTAGGCAATTAGGAGACCTCCTACTGGAAAATTTCTTGAAATTTAGATACTATGTTTGCTGTTCACCACACCAAAGGGGGGGTGGGACAGGAGGGGGGACTCTAAGAATACTGTATATTCTTTAAGAAGAACCTGAAGCCAGCCCATTAAATGTAAAACCTTTATTCATTACTTATTATAAGAAAAAGTCCCTTCAAAGAAGTTTTCTTCTTTTCAAAATAAACATGTATTTCACCAACAAATTCACATATATCATAAACTTGGGATTTCTAAGACAATAAAATCTCATTACTGCAGATGTCACCAATTTACAATTATTTGTAGAGGTTCAAACAGTGAGTGGGTTGAAATATTTCATTTTTGTGGAAAAAAAAAAGGTCAAATGAGATCACAAAGTAACAGGAATATTTGATTTACTTAAACTAAACTTCGGAGACTCAAGAAACTTTTGCTAAATAGAAATGATAATCTCAATCTTTTCACTAATTTGGATTCTCACTAACAAATTCTACTTCAAAAATACTTTGAGGTTAGTTCATAAAATAATACATGTGTATATGTATGCATTTCTGCATTTATAAAATCTTCACTACACTTAATCAACTAAAATGTGTTCTATTTTCATTATTTTTTTGGTCTTGAACTCACTATGTAGTCCAGGCTGGTCTCAAACTCATGGCAGTCCTCCTGCCTCAGCCTCCCCGGTGCTGGAATTACAGGTATGCACCATCATGCCTGGCTTCTACTTTATTTTCTTACCCTGGTAGTTTTTTTGGTTTTTTAATTGCAAATAAAACAGGTAAAACATACTTTTCCATTTGATCTCATCTGCAAGTGTAACTTCAACTCAACAAGTGAAAGTGTATTGCTTGGGTAGGTACTAATTCTAGAACATTGAGAATAAAGAGAGAAACTTATTTTTTCATAATTTTTTTAAAAAATGGACATAATATTTTGGAAAATGCAAAATGCTCATATTAATATCATGGAATGTAAAGATTAGTAACAATTAACTACCTGACTTCCCTGGGTGGAACACAACAGTCATGGCATTAACTACTGATGGGTAAGGTTTAACGACTCTATCTGTACTTTTCCATCATTGCACAGACAGAAATAATTTAGGAATTACACTAGGGTCTCCATCCCCCTTCTCTTTTTTCTTTCTTTTGAAGATACATGATCTTGCTGTGTTGCCCAGGCTGGCCTCAAACCCCGGGTGCATGTGATCCTCCTGACTCAGCCTCCCGAGTAGCTGTGAGGATTGCCACATGTGACTAGAATCATGTTAGTTTTTATTTTATTTTTATTTTTTCCCAGTACCAGGAATCGAACTCACGACTTCGCACTTGCCAGGAGGGCGCTGTGCCACTGAGCTAAATCCCTAGCCCCTCATGTTAGTTTTTAATCCTGTGATTGCTACTGGTGCCCTATTTGCTAATACTTTTTTCTCCCCAAATTAAAAGTTTCTGATTGGAAACAGGAGACCATAACATTAAACCATACCTTGTTCACTAGGTTCTGACTGAGACTTTCTGACAGTAAGGTCCAGAGGTGAGTCTTGGTCAGCCATGAGAAGTTTGCTGAGCACAGGGTTCTGAGTAGTTGCAGCCGTGGGAGAGGTGGTGACTGGAGATGGTTTCGGCAGGCTTTGGTTCTTTGTGCTATTGGGCTGGCTGGGGTCCTGAGTAGAGCTATTTTTTGAGGTATATTCAGCAGCAAATTGTTGGATCATTCGCTGCATGATCTCACGGGCCACTAGGGGAATATTGGGGTCGGAGACCCAGGGACTGTCTGTAAACAAAGATTTATTTACTTTTAAAGTGGGACAATGTACTTAAAAAAACAAACAAAAAAAACCACCTTTCAAGAAAACATAAAATTTCATTATTTTTAGAAAGCAATATCCTAAAATTATCCTCATTTGATTTGTATTTTCAATCTCTAGGCTTTAGAGTTCAAGATCTCTGAAACTTTTCATTAAAATATTCTAAACATCTCTCCCCTTATATTACAAAATTAAATAAAAGGATAATACACAGTATGTAACTTATGGACAAGAATTACTTACCTGATATAGAAACCTCTAAGCCCTTCTCTTATAAAATAGGTACTCCCCGCTTTCACCAACTACAGTCACATCAGGTTTCCCCTATATTTTACCTCAACCATTTCCTCCTAAATTTTTGAAGAATGGGTTACTGAGTTCATGACTACTTAATTTACTGCCTGTTAAAGACAGATGTCATAACAAGATCATAAAAAGAGATAATTTTAAGATCTATGATAGGCTAGGACAACAGTCATCACACTTTGTTTATCAGAATTATTTTGGAAGCTTTTAAAAACAGATTGCTGGGTCCTATGCTCAGAGTTTCTGATTTAATAGTTTTAGAGTAGGCTCAAGAATTGGCATTTCTATCAAGCTACTAGATGCTGCTTAGTCTGGGAACAATTTTTGAATCCCTGGGCTAGAGTTTAAATGCCCCATCTCAAAAGCTGAAGAAAAACCACACATTTGGTTTTTTTTTTTTTAAAAGCTGTACTGAAGATCAACCCAAGAGCACTCTATTATACCCGCGCACATCCCCCCTTTTCATTTCTAGACTGGGCTTAAGCTTGTGATCCTCCTGCCTCAGCCTCTCCAGTAGATGGGATTACAGACATGTGCCTCTGTGCCTAGCTCCATAAATTTTTTCTAACTATTAACTGACCAGCCAAGAAAGTAAGGAAATAAACACTTATCAGTCAATGCTAAGTTTAAAATAAAGACTACATGAACTCATAAACATATAAAACCAAAGGAAACCTTCAAATTCAAATAGGCTAAGATGAAAAGAAAAATGGTTTGTACAAATATCGTTTTCACACATTTTTCTAATTACCGCAGTAGTCTATCAGAGATGAAGCTTCCTAGGGGCAAAGACTATTATCTATTTACTTTTGTATGCCTAGTCTGGCCTGGGGTAAAGTATGCAACTGATTTATGTGAATAATAAAAACAACAGGCAAGCCGGGCCTGGTGGCGCACACCTGTAATTCCATCACTCAGGAGGCTGAAGCAGGAAGATCCTTGTGAGTTTGAGACCTGCCTGGGGTACAAAGTGAGCTCAGGGCCAGCCTAAACTATGTAGGGAGGAGACTCTGTCTCAAAAAACCCCAAATCAAACCAAACAAAAAACCAACAGTCAAATATAGTACTTTGTTATAAGGTGAAAAAATGTGATCTAAAGAGTAAATGACCTCCATGAAGTTGTAGATGGTTACTGATAAAACTCAATTAAAACTCTTCCTCCTATTTTAATGCTGTACTGTGCCCTTAATTCCCCACCATGTGCTCAGTCCTTTAAGATATTTCTCAGAAAACCTCACTTTCTTGGCTTTAAAAAAAAAATAGCTATAAAAGGCAAACATCCACAGTATTTTGGAGCTGTGAGGAACTTAAGTTGATTTACAAAGTTTCACAATTGAGTTTTATTATTACTTAAAATCTAAGATGTTTGCAATAAGAAAATTAACAAAACTTCACAAGACTCTTAGTAATATATCCTTTTTTTTTTTCCCCACAAAAGCCAAAAGGTCAACATTCAGTACCAGAAGATACTCATAAAGTTATAGTATTTTAATTCTCTAGAGTTTAATGAGAATTAATCTGTCAATAATAATGTTTCTCTACTACTAAGAAATATTTATAATCCTTTATTTCCTCTTTAATAAAGATGTGTTTATATTAGAATCTGGATGGTTTATGAACAAAGGTATTCAACTGAGTGAGATTGAGAAGTTCCAGCAATCACTAACAATAATTTCTCAAATGTTTTAGCAAACATTTTAGCTATGTTGCTGTTTAAATATGTACCTCTACCCAATGAATTTTCCCATTAATAGTTATTAAACTTTCTAGTTAGATCCATTTTTTTCCTATAAAGCACACAATTCCCATACGAAATATTATATAAAATTTTAATGTGTTAGTGGTACCCTTCCCCCTGGGAATATTGGATACTATGTAATAAAGAAGAAAATTTCTAAACAGGATGCAAAATGAAACTGATTTATAAGATATCTATGTTTTCTATTAATAAGTAGCATTAAAGAACTTTATGGTAAGTAAGTGAAAGATTTTAGTACAAAGACCCTAAACTGCTACTTTGAAATGACCAGTATTACCTTGCCTCTCTGCTGAATGAGTAATACAATCATAAGACAAAACATTCAGTTTATGAATGACATCTCTACTATTTAAATTTGTTTATCTTTTGAAAGTTTCTTGAATGCATTAATTCTTTTCTTAAGAAACAAATTTGATAAACATATCTAGACCTAGGGAATCGTGTACAACTAAATCAAACAAAAGCAACAAATCAAATCAGAATAAAACTACAGAAAAAGTATTATATCAACCACTGGTATATTTTAAAATGAAATCTAACTTTCAGAAAAGTATAAATTCTTTAAACAGTGACAAGTTAAAGACTGAATTAAGATGGTATCCTGTATTATTCGTAAGCTAGAATGTTATACAATCTATATTATAAAAGCCTACTTTTATTGCATCATGTCTATTTGGCTGTCCAAAACATCTGCACATGATTACTTGAAATATGTAATACTTGGATACCAAGGGCTAAATCCAAACATCTGAATTAAAGGTTGACTATCCCTAATCTGAAAAATGTGAAATCCAAAATACTCTGAAATCCACTTTTTCAGTGCTGACATGACACTCAAAAAGGTTTACATTTTTAAATAATGGATGTTCAACTGAAGTCTATGTCAATATTCCAAAATCTGAAAAACTCTTGACATCAAAAATACTTGTAGTCTCATGTATGTATGTATGTATGTATTTAGGTAGGTAGGTAGGTACTGGGAATTGAACTTGGGACCTCCTGCTTGTGAGACAGGAATGATTCCACTGAGCTATATTCCCGTCCCGTCTCACGCATTTCAGACAAGGGATACTCAACCTACATTTATAAAAACTAAGTATTTTCTTCAGACTATTGTCATTTCCCTGGATTTAGATCATTTTTGATATTCATTTGAAGACTATAAATGTCCGTCTTTGTGATACTTCCAAAAGGATCATTAAAGCAACTAAAACCCACAACGTTTATATATAAAGCAAGGGAAAGGGAATTTTCCTATTTTAAGGAAATAGTTCTTTTTTGTTTAGCATCTCATGCTAGTGTATCAACAAGTTACTTAAAATTTCAGAAGATTTTCGTCTCAAAAAAATCTACCCTTTCCGTGGCCTGCACTCGCTCTGCAAAACGTATCTTTTTCTTGCCTTTAATAAATGTAAAACATTGTTACCTTTTGTACTCATCCTGAATAATTCTTTGTTTAGGATAAGAACATCAGAATTTCTAGAAGAGCCCTATGGTACCCCAAATCCCTGATAACATAGTTTTGGCAACGTGAACCAGGAGGAAAAATTCAGGTTCCCCTGAAGAAAAAAGACCACCCACTCCTGTGAACCTCTGGAAGACCTGGGGCTCCTCTTCAAAAAGCAAGACTCCAGTACTCCTCCAAGTGCAGCTAAGTAGAATCACTAATGACTTTTAATCCACTACAACTTAAATGGGCACCTGTATCAGGACTATTGTTTTTACTCAGATCCATACTGTGGGTAACCTTGCTAGGTAAGGCCACCAGTCTCAGGCTCTTGGTAGTCTAATCTCTCTCTCTGACATACTTTTTTCTCCACAGAAAGTACAGAAATCACAATAGCTACATCCATCATACTGCACCATTTCAGACAGACCAGAAAATAATTCTGACCTGGTCCTTCTCTTATCTGGGCTCTACATTCCCAACTAACAGTAAAGTTTATCCATTTAAGGTTTCAAATGGTGACTGAGACTGCAGTCCACAACTTTGGACAAATTTACCAAGCCTGGCTGAACATGCAGCTCAACAGCTCTTTAAATATGGATACTAACTCTTTTTTTCACTGTCTTTTGACAGTTTTTTTGCAGGCCAGCTGGTAAGCCACAACATCCCAAGGCAGTTGCAGAGAACATAATCACTAGTAGGTAAGGCCTATAGCCCATTTCAGCTGGCAGTAGTTATATGAAAACAGAGACCACTGCACCCTCAGCAACCCATAAAGAACTATGAGAATTTGTCTCTCGGGAGAAATGAGGCAGGAGATTAGAGCATGGCCAGCTAGATGGGAAAGTGGGCATGACCTATCAGTCAGAGAAATCCAGGACACATGTGTCCAAGCCTGCACCTGGGCCCAATCAGAGAAAGCTATCTTCAATTCTTCTGGCACGAAATCAAATAGGTTTTTTATATGACAGCCTAGATTTGACATTGGAAGGGAGGATACAAAAGACAGCAGCCATTAACCTTGTGGCCACTGTAAGTTCTTTCAGTGGCCTGTTCTGCATTCTGCAGGGTGTACTTCTTTTTCTACCTTTAGCTGGTCTGCACTCACTCTCTAGGGGCATACTTCTTTTCTCATCTTTAATAAATGTAAAATGTCATTAAAAAAAAAAAAATCCTACCTTGAGACCAATTCCAAGGTCCTTACCTCCCCAATGGTTACATCTCTAAAAGTTTAACTTCTAACAAGAGTTTACGAGCAAACTTTAAATTACTGTATTTCTCTATCACTAAAGGATGGTACTAGGAGAGAAGACAGAATTTCTCTGTAGAAATCTGCTTATGAATGACCTTATTTAACAATGCCTTAAGAAAGAATAGGCCAGACAGCACATGCTTATAATTCCAGCCCTCAGGAAGCTAAGGCAGGAGGACTGCCAGAGTCAGAGGCCAGCCTGGGATACATGAAAAAAACAAACAAACAAAAACAAAGGGGAGGGGGCTGAGAAAGGATGAGAAGTGATTGTTCCACATATGCAATATGATCGGAACATAGGGCAAATGTTTAATTAAAAAATAATTACTACAGTAAAAGACAAATTGCCATTAGTCTTCCTTGACTTGAAAACACTTATCCCATCATTCTTGGTACTCTCTGAGCCAGTTCTAGAAGTCCTCTTCTGTGACTGTCTTTATAAAGTGTGATTACAAAATACAGTGAATGCTGCTGCCAAGTGCCACCTAATGGAAAGGTATGCTTTAAAAAAACTATGGAGTGTAGGCAGACAGCTTCCTTGGATAGTGTGGTGTTTATTCAGTAGTGAAGTTGCTCTCTTTCTCCCATTCTGGGTTGGAAGTGTTGCGGCTCAGGACTCACCAATCCGAAACACTTTGTCAAGCACATCCAGTACTACAGTGCCGTGGTGCACAGTATAATCTCAGTGTTATAGGCAGCTGAGTTAAATGGAAAGACAGGGCCAGGCCCTCGAGGAGCTACCATGAGAGACAAGATACATTGTGAATGGAGATGTATTTGCTGTGGGCCAGACCTCAAGACAAAAGACTAAACAAATGCACCCAAATACCTCCCTAGGTGTAAACACCAGGGATTGATATTCTAAATAGGTAGCAATCACCTTGAAAAAGCCAGGAAGAGCTGGGCATGGTGGTACTTGGGAGACTGAGGCAGGAGGATCACTGACAGTTGAGACCAGCCTGGGCTACAAAAGGAGCTCAAGGCCAGCCTTATTCATGGATCTGAGACCATGCAACTTTGGCTTTTCCTTAAAGTTAAAGGTAAATGTTCTCAATCAGTTCAGGACATCCAGGCAACCATAAGAGAGCAACTGAAGACATTTGCAAAAGAGAACTTCCAGAACTAACTCAGAAAGTGGCATCAACAATGAGATAAATGTGTATTTATCTCACACATAAATACAAAAGCTAAGGGTGGGGGACAAGAGTATCCTGAAGGGCTTAATGGGAATGTTTTTCACTGTATTACTTTAAAAAATTGAAACACTACATGTTTTGATCACACTTTGTAAATCGGGGATAATGAATACTTTTCAGAGAACGAAACTTTTTATAACATACCAGATTAGTGACTGTATATATCCCAAAGGAGAGGAGCTATAAAGATATTTAGTTAATAAATGATAGAGCTAGTCTACCAGTCATTTATACCTTTAGCATGAATTACTTTAATAAAACAATCATATGTTGGTAAAACTAAGGAAATGACTACTTTGAACATAATTTTGGAATCAAGGCCCTTTAAAATGATACAGTTAGCCTGGAGACTCTGATCAGAGGATACAAGTAGTTAAGTAAGGATAGTCTAAAACATGAGATTTTACCTAGATTTAATGTGGCCCCACAACAATAATCTGTGCATTCCTTAATTTGGTATGATACTTCACCTCATACTGTTTTTTGAAAACACTCATCACATTAAGCAGAACTCCAGCTGTTATTTGAATGTAACCAACTCATTAGACTCTGACTTTTAAACAAGGTACAGTCAAAATATACCCTTCAAACTTCAGAAGGAAGGGAATTTCCAGAAGAATGGAAAGTGTAACTAGAACATATGAAGACATATTAAAGAAAATGAGATTACTGAGTCATCTAAAGATTAAGATCATTCAAGATTATCAGGGGTTTGTAGGAAATTTAAGAATCTTTTTAATAGCTTTATCTTGGACCTAGATTGAGAAATAATTTTTTGAAAAGTAAAGACTATTCACTGGACTGGACTGAAGGGAAATTTACTCATGGCTAATGGAAACTATGCTTTGTGTATAGAGAAAAGAACTGAATGTTTCCATGAATAATTTCTAAATCCTGAAATACTGTAACTAGAGAGGCCTCCCTACCTTTAAAAGAAATGTAGCCAGGTGTGGTGGCTGAGGAGGAGGATTGCAAGTTGGGAGGCCAGCCTGGGTTAACTCAGCAAGATCCTACATCAAAAAGGAGGGAAAAGGGGGAGTGGGGCATCTGGGGATGTAGATCTATGGTAAAGTGCTTGTCAGGCATGTGCAAGGCCCTCGGTTCAATCCTTATTATGCAAGTAATAATAGCAGCAGCAGCAGCAACAACAGTAAATAAATAAAACAGACAAAAAACAAAACAAAACCCAAAACAGAAATGTTAAGTTTACACAAATTTAAACGAGAAAGATACAGCAGAAAAACTCAAGACGTAGTTTTCTCTCCAAATAAAATTTCAGGTTGAAATTACTGAAATTTTATAGTTATTAGTGATTTAAACAGTAACTTTGTATTTTTAAAATTTTAAACAAAATATAGAATTCCTGAAACTTAACATTTGCAGTTTCATAATAATTTTCTTAATTATTTAAAACTCACCATCACTTCAAAGCTAAGGGTAGGGGACAGGAGTTGCCTTAACTCTATCCCCAATTTAACTTTATCAAAAGAATACAGAAAAATATAAAGTATATCATCAATAAAGAAAGTATTTTTAACAACTTTTAAAATGATATAGAATTTAAGGAGATTAGTACCAGACAAGCAGATGGTAAACGTCATTCTTCACTGAAACCAACCTTTTCTATAAAAGACTGCATTGAGGAACTCTTCTGCTTGTCTCTCGAATCGAATGATTTTCGCTTGCTCTTGTTTAAGGAGAGCTTCTTGCCCAGCTCCCGAAGCTGGTTCATCCAGGCGGACTAAGTGTCCCTGTAAAAATATTCGGTGAAATATTTGTATAAAAAATTTCCTCCCTTCAAAGTAAAAATCACAGATGCATAAAGACAAATAACAGCAAATACAACATGAGGTTAGTCTAATTATTTTAAATAAGGCTAAAATTTATCTTTACCAAAGTATAAAAGCAAAATGAGTGTAAACTTACAGTTTAGGTAGATTTTACTCATGTTTTTCAATTATGAGTTTCATTCAAAATTCACAGGTAAACTAAACTATTTGAGGAAAACTTAAGCATTCAAATATACTGGTTCACAGCCAAATCAATTCAGACAGAATGCTTTCTTAAATTCAAAAAAAATTTAAAAATCTCAAATATCATTTGATGATCATTTTTGCCCTTCTAGTGTGAGATCTATTTTCTCCACACATAAAACACATGTTGAAAGGACTACCATGAAGGAAAACCCAAAAAGAATATACTATATCAAATTCATAATTCTGTTTCTTGGTTATTGTTTTACAAACTGTGGCTCTCAAACCTTTAGTGGGTTGTGAAATTAATAGGTCAAAACTAGACCACTAAAAAAAGGCATTAAAAATAATGTGCTGCATGTTCTAAGTGTAAACATTTCAGTATCTTTTGTTGTAATATCCGTATGCTCAAACATGTTTGCAATGTAAAATGTGCATCAACATCTTTTACTGCTTGAAAAGTTCCAAAATGCTACAGTAAAACTAAGCAAGAAGCTGCTAACTCCCAGACTGGAGATATACTTTATTAAGTGGGTAATACTTTACACTTATTTCCATGGCTCTATTAGTAAATAGGTGACTATAATAATAGAAAATAAGATCATAATGCAAAGTAACACTTTCAACTATTCTTTAAGTACCAGTACATATAATTTACTTCTAATTACTGCAATGTATAGATTCATACATTTACTTTCATCATGAAAAACATGTGCTCTCTAAGAAAACAGGACACACTTTGGCACAGTGAAAAGGAATTAAAAAGGGAGTGAGAGCATATTACAATCCCCAAGGTATTTCTTCAAAAAATCTGAACATATCTACTGATACTTCAATATAAGACACAGGAAGTTTGTTACAATTTTCAAAGTATTTTAAGTCTTTTAAACCATGAGAATCTTTGTGAATGTTACTTGCCAATAGTCTCTAAAGAACAGCTAAACATAAATTTTTAAAGAATGAATCATAAATAAAATAATGTAATTCTGATGTAGATTTAACACTTAACAAGTATGAGAAATAACCATCAGAGTTCAAGAAAATCCTTAGTTACACTATACTTTTCATTGCTTACTGCTTTTTAAAGTTAGACATCATATGGCATAAAATGTACTGTATTTCACTTCTTTGTCAACAATCAGTTCGTCACACACTGAACATATCTACACAGTACCTGAAACTTAGTTTAATGTGGGATTCAGATCACCTCCTAATCTAAAGCAACACAACTAAGCTACCAGCTGAGCACTAAGCAAGTATTACATGTTCTTCAATCAAATAATGATCAATCCTATCAACCAGGATTGTGAAATATACAGATCATTTAGGTGATTTGTATTAAGTATAGTTACAACTATTTGTTTTGCTTTTAGACACTGCCTGAGACATAATTCACCCACCCTACAATTTACCGAGCTAATATAAATGGTTTTTATCACTATCACCAGAATCTAATTTGAGAACATTTTCTTACACCCAAAAGGAACGCTTTGGCCACTGATACTCAACCCCCACACCCGTACCTCCACCCAACTCTTGGAAGCCACTATACTACCTTTTGTCTATAGATGTGCCTGTTCTGCACATTTCATCTAAATGGAATCAAATTTTTTTTTAAATCTAACTTTTTTCTCCTACTGTTTTTAAGGTATGTATGTATTATAGCACTTACTTGCTTTTTTTGGTAAATGAACATTCCATTGTATGAATATGCCACATTTTATTTATCCATTCATGTGTTCTAGTGCATGAGCAAATAACACTATTAACTGTAACAAGTTCTTGTGTAGATATGTTCATTTTTCTTGGATATACACTTGGGAATAGAACTTCTGGGTCATGTTAACTATGTTTAACATTCTGAGGTAGTATCAATCCATTTTCTAAAGCAGCTATGCTACTTCATATTCCCAACAGCAAGCAATGTGAAAGAGTTCCAATTTCTCCACATGAACTTATTTTTCTACTTTTCTTATTTTCTACTTTTATCTTTCTTATTTTTCTCAATGAACTTATTTTTCTGATTATAGTCATTCTAGTAGAGAAGATGTGGTATCTTATGGTTTAGATTTGCAGTTTCTTGATGACTGATGATGTTTAGCTTCTTTTCAGATGCTTAGTGATCATGTAAATACATTCTTTCGAGAAGTATCTGTTCAAATGCTTTGCTCATTTTGCAACTGAGTTATTTGTTGTTGAGATGCGTTGGCCTTGCTATGCAGTTCAGGCTGGCCTCAAATCCAGTGATATTCCTGCCTCAGCCTCCCAAGTGCTGGGACTACAGGAGTGCAACCACCACATCCTGCCTAAATTGCAAAAATTCTTGATATATCCTCATACAAGTACCCTATTAGGTATATGATTTGCATATATCTTCTCCCATTTTGTAAGCCTTCTCATTACTTCATTTATGGCACTGTTAGTACAAGTTGTTAATTTTAATGAATTCCTATTTATATTTTCTTTGATCACTTATGCTTTTGGTGTCATCTAAAAAATGTAGCTATTTCAAGGTTATAAAGGGTTTATTCTGTTTTAAAAGGGTGATATGGTTTACTTTCAGGTCTATGGTCTATGTCAAATTAATTTGTGTATAAGCTTTACAGACAATGTCTAACCACTCTCTTTCAAGTAATCAGTTATTTTAGCACCTTGTGTATGTTCAGATTCTTTTGTCTATAGAACTGTTTTGGGATACTTGACAAACATCCCTGAACATAAGTTTTAAATCTGGAACTCAATTCTATTATGTCAATACCACACTGTATTTTACCATTGTAGTTTGGTATAAAGGCTTGAAATTGGGAAATGTGAATTGCTCTTTTTAGAAGGTTAGTTTGGGTACTAGGGGATCTCTGAATTTTCATGAGTTTTAGGATCAGTTGGGATTCTGATGGAGAATCACTGCATCAGTTTATCAAGTTGGGGAGAAATGTCATCTTAACAATACTAAATTTTTCTCATCTACAAACATGGAATGTCTTCTGCATTTATTTGCTTTCTGTCAATAATGTTCTGTAATTTACAGTGTGTGAATTTTATATATTTTCTTCCATTTAATGCTACTGTAAATGGAACTTTCTTAACCACGTTTGTATCTTCACTGCTTAGCTTCTAGACTAACCCTGATTATTTAAAAAGTGTATTCTAAACTTTGAATTCATTTATTAACTCTAATAGTGTTTTGTAGACCATCTATAAACAAAAATAATTTTACTTCTTTTTTTGCAATCTGGATGATTTTGATTTACTATTACCTAAGCGCCCTGGTTAAATCCTCCTAAACAATGTTAAATAGAAGTGGTGAGTATATAGTCCTGTTTTCTTCCTGATCTTAGGAGGAAGCTGTTCAATCTGCTACTGTTTTTGTGGGTGTTTTTGGTGCATGTTTTCAGTACATAAAATTTACATTCATCTTATGGAGCAGTAACACATACTTAACATACCTTCTTTCTTTTTATTCCCCTTCCTATCCCTTTCCTTCCCTCCATCTCTAGATCCCTTCTCCTCATTCTCATTATTATTTTTTATTTCATATTTGCAACAACAATTACATTCATTGTATTTATAGTGCATATATGCGATGGTTCTTAAATTTTTTTGTCTCCTTGTCCTCCCCCACTCTCCTGACCCTCAGTCTCTTTGACCACTTCCCATCTGCAAAAGATTTCCTTAATTCCTTTATTAAATCTTTTATTTTGCTCTTTATTTGTACTTTGGATTGCTCAAAAAAGAAATCATACAATATCTAAGCCTGTGTCTGATTTATTTCATTTAACAATACGTTATCCAGGTGAACCCATTTTCCTACAAAATTTCTCGAATTTATTCTTCTTTATAGCCAAGTAGTAACGAAACATTTTCTTTATCTTTTCATCTGTTGATGAACATATAGGCTGCTTCCAGGATTTAGCTATTATAAACTATGCTGCTATCAACGTAGGTATACAGGTATCACTATAAGTAATGTCTTCAACCCTTTCGGGAAGACACCTAGAAGGGAATAGCTTGGTAAACTGGATTTCTAGTTTTAGATTTTTTAAGATATCTTCATCCGACTTCCATTAAGAGTGTAATTAGTTTACATGCCCACCAGTAGTACAAAAGGGGTCCTTTTTCACTACAGCCATGCCAGCATATTGATTCCCTGATGACTGCCAGTCTTTCTGACATAAGAAGAAATCTTAGTGATTTAATTTGCCCTTTTCTAATAGAAATGCTGAACATTTTTTTGTATGTTTATTGGATATCTGTGTTTCTTCTGAAAAATGTCTATTCATTTCACTCACCCATTTTTTAACTGGGTGTTTTACTTTGGGTAGTCTAATTTTTTTTAGTTCTTTACATATTGTAGATATTAGTCCTCTGTCTGAGGAATAGCTGGCAAAAAAATTTTTTTTTCTATTCTGTAGGTTGTCTCTTTACTCTGTTGATTGTTCCCTCTGCTGTGCAGTTTTTAAAAATTTGATATAATGGTGTTTATTTCTGTATTGTGAGGTCAGTTTAGTACCCCAAAATCACGTAATGTAGCATGATGTTTTAATAAATCCCAGAAACCACATAATCATCTCAGTCAACACTCTCTAAAATCATGCTGCCAGACCAGATACCGGTTCTTGATTTTAAAAAAAAAAAAAAAAAAAAAAGGTACCCAAAAAAACTAGCAATAGAAGGGAACTTTTTTAGCTTGAGCTACAAAAAAATACCATCATATCAAATTAAATTGCACAAGGTCATGGTGCATAATACTTACAATGCCAGATTCGGTGTTGACAATT